TGTGATGTCATATGGTAATACGGGAAGAGCTTAAAAGTGTTTTTGCAACTCCATACACCTGCACTATAATCATTTGGATGATTTCAGCCATGGAATTGTCAATCTCTACTGGACAAAAGATAAAAGGTAGCTGTTAACTTGAAAACTACCACTGCATAGCATCACAAAGTAGAACAGATCATTTGGAGATAGAATAAGAATAAATGATTATTCAAATGTGTAAATGAAACAAAACACAACTCCAGGCATGTTTCTGAGGAGGGAACAACATTCTAACATGGGTTAAAGCTGACAAGAGTAAATTTTGCACAATACAGGACCTTTAATATCTCATACTAGTAAGCAGTTGAGTATACTAAAATTTTTTGACTTATTTTTGCAGGAGAATAACACATCTCTCCGAGTAAGTATAAACTCCACATTTCTTTGAGAATATACTAAGAGCTAAGGCAAAGAAAATCTTTATACATATATAGATGACAAGCCGGCATCTGAACACAGCCACCCTCTCTGCTGCTGCATAGCCTATACGTGGAATGGGACAGGGAGGAGCGATGTGAGGAGAATTCAAAATAAATGAAGCAGTCTGAATTATTTAAAGGTACAAACTGGGAATTGAACCGAGCTTTTAAAGGAAAACGGAAAGTAACCACAAAAAGCCATCTTGCAGGATCTCCTTGAGAAAACTTACTAAGATATTAAAGGTGCACTGCTTTTTTAGTGGAGGGTCCGCCAACTGCTTGTCTCTTTGGAGATGTTACTGGTTTGCCTTGATTATGCCACAGTATGTAAATACACTTCATAATAACGTTGGAGACACGTTAATGGCCAGCTCTATGGTGAAGCAAGCCTGCACGTTAGTTAATGTCTTACAAGGTTTTTTTTATCTATAAAACACCTGTAATTGAATAAATGCATGGCAAATGTCTAATGCCATACTGTGGAACATTCCCTGAAAAGAAATAACATCTCCATGGAGATAAGCAATTAGGAGATAAGCAATTAGCTACTCTAATTAGCTACTCTAGAAGGTATAGTGCACTTTTAAGCCTATGGAAGAAGGGTGATGTGGGTCTTGTATAGAAGGATGAAGTGGTGTTAAAAGTTTATGATTTAGGCCGCTTTACTTTAATTTATTAGAACAAAGAACATTAGGGTCCAAACAATATTATTTCTAATGCAACTCCATGTCTGGGCACTCTGATAAGAGTTGCTGTGGAACCAATGTGTACAACTCATCCTTTGAGTTTTAAACAAGGTTACAGCGAATCACCCCTTGTCTTGTTAATTAATGGTTTACATTGACCTCGCCATTGGTCCCTCTCAGCTTTCCAGCACTCACTAAATGTATTTATTATGCTGTTGCAGATGAGCTTATTTGGCTGCTGTTCAATTAGAGCGCGGGAGACATAAGGAAAAAAGCGAGCAGGAGAAATCAGAGTAAGCACTTCTGGTCATGGCACAGTTCACAAGGCAAGACTAATGGCGGCAAAACTAAGCACCCACTAATCAATAAGCATCTTTCTTCATCAAAGAGCACAGATAAATCAAATTGCCTTGTGTGGTCAGTGGCCTTCAGATGCACTCCTATTTACTACTGCTCCCCCAAGAGAGAATGACTCAGTCCGAAAATCCTTTAGCCAACAGGTGCTTCAGATAAATGTAAAATCAACAATGATTTAAAGGGACTTGGGCACTCACAGGAAAATAAAGCAAAATACAGCTTACCCAAAATACAACAGTATACATCTGTAATGCCATTTACAATACTCAGAATTAATTAAATGGGTTACTGCCAAAGTTGCAAGTTAGACCGCTACACAGCAGGCTGTAAAAACACTTTATTGTAAAAGAGCTCTCTTAGTGAAAGGTGACACTGGATAAATATTGAAAATTTAACCTAATATTTGTTTATGTTAACAGAAAACCGCGGGAGAGCTCGGTCTGTGTCCATGTCAATACTCAGTGGGCTGTTAGTGCATATGGGAGGGGGTCTGCTTCTCTCAAACATGGGTGACCTCAGAAAACAGGTTTACAGAGCCTCAGGCATCCAAACTCATCTGACATGCAATCTTTCAAACCAGCAGTAAGAAGCACCCAGCCTCTCTTGTCAAAAGCCAGTCATGCACTCAGGCCTGGGTCGTAGTCAAGTAGAGACAGGACTGACATAGCACAGATGTGTGCAAAGAGCTGAAAATGTCAGAGGATGCACTTGTTGGAAGGTCTGAGACATTGCAGCTTTTAGGAATATCTTTTTAAATTATTTTTTTAGAGCTGCATGATTTGGGAAAAACATTTAATTGTTTTTTTTTTTCTGACAAGTACTGTGACTGTAATTAGCTTTGCGATTTTAGTTTTAATACTATAGAATTGACAAAAAGACAGATCTATGAACTGACAAATTAATACAAGAATCACATTTCCAAACTTGTTTGTGCAAATCTAAACTTCAGGGTCAAGTAAGGACAGGCCTTTATCATTTGCTATTTGCGTCCATTTAATTCAATTACATCTAATCTTGCAGCTCCTAACCCACAATAACCCATTTTGAAATATGTGTTATTGCTACAGAAAATGTTTCCAACAAATAATTAGCCAAAGAAAAATCCTTAAAGAAAGAGTACCCTGTGCCCTTTTTAATTCAACAAAGGCAATACAATCACAAATGAACCAGGTTTGGCAGTGCTTACACCTGTGTAGAGATACAACTCATGGACAGGTCATGCTTCATGTGAAAGACCAAAACTCCAGAATTCACCCAGAGGCTGCACTAGCACTAATTAATGACTGACTGTGCTGGGGTTCAGGAGGATTCAGATCAGAGTGTCCTTTTAGGTTTTACCAAGTTGTTTTTAAGCATTAAAAATGGCAACCCAAATGAAAGACTCATGTGAAATTATAGTTATATAATTTCACTCTCCACAGCTCAAATCTTATGGTGCTACAAAAATTTGAAATATTTCCTAAACATGCACATGATAAATATTGATCTAAAAAAAATGCTATAATTTTTAAACAATAAGTTATATAGTAATTATCATAACTGTTCTACCCCAGTCAAAACACACAAAGTAGTTCTGTTGATGATTTAGCTGTAGAATATTGATGACAAAAAAGCTAGCCAACTGAGCTGATTCTCAGGGAATCTTCCTGGTTGCATGCAAAATAAGGATGGAAATCCTACATTTGTTTAGCCCGCATGACAGGCAGTATTAACTCATGTAAAACAAAAATCTAGATTATATCACTCCAATAAAGGACATCAAAGTTGTTGCATTTGTTAAGCACCCAAGTATAGTGACAGTTCCTCTCATTGTTCTCATGACAATGGCACCTGTCATGTTTCCGTCCGTTTGTGATCATAAGGCCTCTGTGATTACTTAACCACACTGCTACACGTTGCTGTTTTTAGCCATAGGAAAATAAAAAGCCTAAACTTCACAGGAGATGGAGCGTGCCCAGTGTGGGCGACTGTAGTGTAGGCGACCTCCTGACTGGTTACCATGGTGAAGTAAAATGAGGTGTTGCCTGGGCCGCGGTGTGTTCATGTGTCTGCGGTCATGGCAGGGGCTCCCACAGTGAATACTATCACATTTCCTCCAGACTCCACCTCTCACTGATCACACGGCTGCCTTCAAGGGCTTCTCTTGCATCAAAGGCAGTGGTGAGATTTTGCATTCCTGTCAGAGCATTACAACCTCTGGAGCTTCCCCGAGATGAAAAACTCGACCCCACTCCTTCCCTCTGCCTTATGTAGTGATAGAAGGGTTTAGCGAAGAAGGGTTTAGCAGCTCCAGACCATCATACAAGCAACACCAAGTGAGATGCAAGCTCCCTATGATTTACTTTGTACTCCAAACACTATTTCCCATCAGCCTCTTCACCGATCATACAACTCCTAAGGCAAGTAGAGGGAGGTGAGGAACGCCTGAGATAACACCATGAGTGCATCAATGAGTCTCCCTGCTTGGCACAAAATATTATTTACAGCTCAGTGAGAGAAGAAATTACAGCTGCAATCCTCTCCTGAAAGAGAAGCAGCTGACCTGGCAACGTTTAGCGTGGGGAAAGGAGGAGGGTCAGCCACCATAATTATTATATTGCCTCTCCTTATTCACTGTCGTATCTATACAGCTCACACAGGCTGTAGGGAATTCATGCTGGAGACAACAGGTTAGTGGTGCATACAAGAAAGAGTAAGAGGTAATAAAATCAGTTAGCTATTTAGAAATGTGGCTTTGCTGATAGGCTACTCAGGATCAGGAAACAAGAAGATTTTGGTTGAACATTCAGATTGCTGAATTTAGATGGATCAATTGAAAAATGTTATTTCAAAGGTGTTGCAATAAAGCCCATTTTAATGTACAAACTCCACTACTGGGGGATAAAGCAAAATTGGAACAGTAAAACAGAACGCAATCAGCCAGACATTAGTCTCTAATGTAAAGAGAGCAGTAAAAAAACAAGGGTCTTTTGATGAAAGTCTTTGCTCCTCATAATGGGAGTAGGGTATATTTTTAGCTTTGGGGACCCAGGAGAGAACTTCGTGCCTCTGGAGACAAGTATGCTACTAGGTGCTCCTGCAATTGAGCCTTAGTTTCAAGGTCTTTTTCTTTCAAAAAGCACCAACTTATTTGACAGCTATTCTATCATGGTGATGTTGAGGTCGGCATTAAAACAACATTATTCCAGCCAACCTCGTGTGTGACCTTAAAAAATACAGGCCATTGAGTTTAACTCATGACTTCCTGGAGTTAATAATCCAAATGTTAAAAAGATGAGCACCAGGTACTGAGGCATGCTGGGCAGCCAGGTAGGCTACAAGTTTGTGTTAGATCAGACCCTCAGTGAACAGCTAACATGAGGAAAGGGCGTGATGAGATGTGCGGTGGGCTGTAGTGCTGGTGGACATTCTTTGGTGGTAGAATCATAGCAGATGAACGCTAGCAGTAGTAGCAGTGCGTCTGAGCTAAGAGTGTGTGTGGTGTCAGGGAACATACCAGACGGTTCAGCCTTCTCCGGAGCATCTTTTCGACTATCTTCTTCGGATCGCTCTACAGATTAACTCTTCCGTGTCAACAGACGCCCCGAGCCTCTGCTCCAGCCTGCCTAGGAAATAACTTTACATGTATGTTAGTTACCGTGCTAGCGCCTTGGCTATCTCTTTTCTACTCTAGCGTTAGTTCTAGCTACACGAAGTGCCGCATCCGTGCTACATCGTTTCCATTTTTGTTGATTTCGGTATCTTCGCACCATTCGCATTCTCTTCCTCTGAAGATTTTCCGCGTTGCGGTGACTAGTCGCGCTTTCCTCTCCTCAAAGCTGAGACAGTCCCTGACATTTTCCTCTGCGCCCTGTTGCTGAGTCTCGCACCGCACTAATCATTTGTCGTGCTATGTTGTGCCTCTCCGTTGACACGGGATCTCTATAGGGTTAAACTAACTTCTCTATTCCCGTGCACAGCTCGTCTCTCCTCCCTGTCAAACGCTCTTCACTCCAGCCGCGGACACAGACCTTCCCACGCTCACAGGCTCCACCCGGTGAAGGTGCGGCGACTGGCGCTTACACTGGATTGTGGGTAATGTGGTCGAAGTTTGAACTACAAGTTCTTGATTCAACCCTCGCTCTTGCAATAATAGGGTATCTGTGAACCTGCCTATAATGAAAACCCACTCACCCTTTTAATTCACGCAATGAGTAGACTACTTGAGGTTCCCTTAAAATACACCCATTAAAGGGCTGCACACACAATATAAGTCAGTGTAAGAATGCACCTCTGATGAAAACATTTTCATTGCCCTAGACCCGAGCAGAGCTATGTTGGGGGAAGAGGATAGGTCCTAAACGTATTCTCTTGAAGTCAGAGAAATTTGGATTCAATCCAAAAGCATCAGATTACTTGTGACCGAACAGTTTACAAGACTGAACTGGCCTTGGCTGAAGCCAGACTCCAGTTGGTCGATAATTTGAATAGGCTGAAAGACAGTTAATTTGCATGTGGTGGCATGAATATACTTCAGTCCTTCAGAGCGTAATTAGGCCTAAGGCAAATGCAAGAAATATCAAAACCCTATCATATGCGTTTATATGCAGAATTATGTCTCATGGGCCCAAATGTAAACAGCACTAAACATACACCGTGACAGTCCGAGTAGCTTAAAGTTGTCCTGTGTCTCCATCGCGTGGTCATGTCGAGTATTACTAGCCCATGTCCATTCATTTAAAAAAAAGACTAAACCTACTTCATTATATTGACAATTTTTTAGGCTTTTGGCTCATATAGGGTACCTTTGAAGTCCAAGCAACCTAATAATAGGCCTATTTCATTTACTTTTGCCTTTATTTGGCCTACTCTCTTGGGTAATTGACCTACATTCGCTTATTTTAGATAAGTATTCATATTAAAACGTCCTTATAATAGGCTAAAATAATAATAGATTATTATTATTATTATTATTATTATTATTATTATTATTATTATTATTATATTATTATTATTATTATTATTATTATTATTGATTGTTGATTATTATTATTCATTCACTCCACTCTTGGTGGTCGTAAGCTATTATTGTAGTCTGATGGGCAGACGGATGGAAGCGAGGCTGCTAATCTGCGCCATGCGCCATGTCGCACCCAAACTTCCCAGCGGTCTCCCATCCAAGTACTAACCAGGCCCAGCCTTGCTTAGCTTCTAGCTGACGAGATCCAATATGACCAAATTTTTCTTGTAATGCAGTACGTTGCCGCACGGTGGCAGCCTAATTACACTTATGAGACGTCACACTTGTTGCTCATAACTTCTGTGGAACTGATCTGGCACCTTCTGTTAGGCGATTATCCTTTTTATTTGTATGTAACTTTGACATGTAATGTACCCTATTTGTCTGTTACTTTATACTAAAACACATTTCAGTCTCTTTTAGTCCATAGTTCAATCCATATTTAAAAAAATAAAATAAAATAATAATAATAATAATAATAATAATAATATACATACTTGTATAATCTTCAATATGAATAGTTGATAATACTTCAATAAATTATGTATTTTTATATTAATACTTTAAAGGGGAAACATATTTGTGATGTTAGATGGTGCTTGCCAGGATTTTGTTTATTTATTTATTTATTCATTTTGAATAATGTTTCATTTAATGATACTGTTTGTTTGTTTTTTTCTTTTGTGTTGCTGATGTACAGTTGACTGTGTCAGTACACTAGCTTGTGTATCTCCAGGGCATTCCTTCAGTGGCTCTTCGGTGTGCGTCTCACTCTTGCTTGTGAATTCAAAGTGACAGCCCCTGTGGAGGAGTTGGGAGACTTCCCCGGCCATCTGTCTTAGAGCAGCCCCTCAGGACACCCCTCCTCTGCTTCCACACATCCACACATCTCTCATTCCCACACTGGGCCTTTGTCAGCAGTTCCTGTCCCTGGACTAGGCGTGGCGTGCGCAGAGGCTGGGGCGACCGTGGGTGCTTTCAGAGGCACCTGCAGATGGGACAAAGGGCCAAGGGTGCTGGGACTGAAGACAGATTGATGCTTTGTGCACCCGAGCTGGAGAGAGCAGGGAGAGAGCTGGGCAGAGCAAGAGGGTGGTGAGGGTGGTGGGGGATAGTTAGCTGAGAAGTTTTAAAGCAGTGGATTTTCAGGGGGACAGGGGTGGGATGGGGTGACAGAGGAGGGGGGTCTGTCACTCCAGTCTGTGTGAGTCCAGGCTTTGGAGGACCCCAAGGAGATTGACAGCTTTTGTGGGCCACATCTTGGCACAATGGTGGTGCTTTAATGGGCGGTAAAACTAGAGCAGAGTTTGGGGAGGTTTTGGAGGGGAGGTGGTGCTCCTCGCTGGTTACGACGGTGGCAGTGTGGGGAGGCTAATGGATGGGGGGCCAGAGGCTTTACTGCTTCGCTTGGTGGGGACCAATTCATGGGCATTCAGTCTAGAGCTCGTTATTCACTGAATGCATCCAGTGGAGGTATGCAGCAGCATCAATTAGAATGTGTTAGCAGATAGCAACGGTGGAAGAAAAAGCTTTCTCTCCCTTTTGCTCACAGGACAACACAGTCCCACTATAGGAGGTGTCAGAGCCACAAAGCCTTTTTTGTGGGTCTCTCTCCATTACATTAGCAGTGCAATATGTAAGGTGGGGACTCTTTTGATTTAAATTAAGTGGAAAAAACACTAAATCCTATTTTTATTCAGCAGGGATAATGGTGTTATACTCTATAAAGGTCTTTAACTACTTATCTGTGGCTAAAAATCTTCCCCAGCTCCCCTTTCACTCCTCCTCAGTGTCTTTTGAGCATTATATTTATTCAACAGTGAAGGGTCAAAGACAGACTGTTAAACAGAGTAGCTTGTAGCCTTAACTGCCGCATCACTTCTAATTGTGTATCAGTGGGTCAGTGGTTTGTTGTGTTGTCGCTGAATAAGAAAGGACAAGCGGATATGAATTAAAACAGTATCTTGTAAGGCATTGTCTGGAGAGGGCTCAGGCCACCACTTCACTCACCGCAAAGGGTTCCTCCTCTAACTTCAGACAGAGATATAAAGAAGAGGAAACTCTTTAGTGGTGATCACATGTCAGGACAGACCAACACTGCATGGCCTTCCACATAATTAGCCTGCACTTCAATGTGTTTTAGTTACATACAACTAGAGCATTGTGCTTTTGAAAACAACCCAAATCTTTTTCAGTATTAATTATCATTGTCCCCCTTTTCAATAATAATATTTCAGCATAATTTTTTAATTTATACTCCTTTAGAAAAATAAATGTAGAAAACAGGTTTGCATTTTTAAACGAGTATTCTCTGTTCACAAACATGAACAAACTGATTCAGGCTTCCATCCATGCACTCAGCATCCATTTTATCTCCAATTTCCTTGCTTTTACCACAAGATGATACAGATGTCATGTGTGCTGAAATGAAATTGTGAATTTTTGTTCCCCATAGGTTTAATGAGAACTAACTGGCAGGAACCTCTTGTAGAAAGGTGTGGATTTCAATGTGAGTAATTATGCTTCATTTCAAGCCAAATGAGACAAATTTGCATCAGCTGAAAAGGCAACCAGAGTTAAACTGTGTGAAAAGTGTAGTAAATTGGGGCAAACATCGCAACATGCAGAAATGCATCTCCGCTCTAATTGTGTAATGGCAGAAGAGCTCTAAATGCACAGGCCAATTAAACAGGCTTCTTCTGCGGGGCAAAGAATCGTCAGGTTATTATGCTGCGAGTATCAGCACAGTTAAATAGCTGCCTCCGTCATGGGTGAGCCTGAAGGGGGCCATCATTTGCAGCAAAATGGAATATCTGATCAAATATGGACAGATGTCTTCATACATGTGAAACGGCTGTGAATTGGATTGGAAGTGGAGAGCGAGATGGATGGCCTGCTCTCAGAGACACAGCTTCCTGCCCTGAGTACTAAGGGGCACAAGAGGAAGAGGGCGAGGGGGAAGGTTGGCTCTCAGCGGGGGGAGACATTTCCCTCAAACACCAGTTGATGGGTTCTCCCACAAAGGCTGCTGTGACGCAGTCTGCGCTGCACAGAACAGCCTGGTTTCTGTCTGGATTAGGCCCTGCATCTCACAAAGGGAGCTCAAATAAACGATTCATGAATGCTGATTAATTGATGCCGTTTTTGCAGTGTGCCATGGAGATTTACATGGAGATACGGTGTGTGGGAGAGGTTTTGCTGTGAAATGTATTTGTAGATTTTACAATGCTGTAGTAGCAAAGGTTTGATTGATAACTTCTACAAGGATTTCTTAATGACCATGATTTCATGAGCCATTTGATGTTCAAATCTACATGTTGCTGATCTGTGGTATGGCTGTGTACATTCCCAGTGCTGCTGTCAGATGTGCCCAGCTGGCAGGCTGTGGAGCTCAGGTGGCAGCGGCGGTGGCCCACATTGGTTCCCACGGTGGGCTTTGGGGTACAGGTGTCCAGAGAGAATGAGGGTGGCCCAGGGCGAGGAGGGGCGAAGCACTGGCCCATAGCCCACCTCAATGGAGGAGTCCCAGGGGCCAACTCAAAAGGCTGGGTTCCACTTGATGGAGAGAGAATGGAAGGTTTGAGCCGTGGCCCAGCAGGAAAGATCTGGTTGTGGGAGACCTCTTTCAGGACGTACTGTTTATGTGAAGGCTGTCACAGCAGATGAGTACTCAGCAAACAGCGTGAACAAGGATTTGAACCAGAAAACCAACAGAGCCCTGACAATATTGTGATTGGGCCTTGTCTCTTTAGAGCCGAATGAAAGCTGAATTGAGAGCAGTAACAAGTGCACATTCAGAACAGGACAGGGATGCTTTTGGGTTGTGTTTTATGCATCTGAGGCCTGTATGCAGCTAAAGCAAAATCATGGTAATCTTGTCTTTGTCCAATACAATCTGTGGCACTTTAATGCTCTAACTAATGTCTTAAAAAGTCATTCTTGTGTCTTGTAATGTGGTTGTGAAAGACACTTCTATTGTCTGTTGACCCAAGATAGAAACATGAGCAAAGTGTCTAAAGATATCATTGTAAAACCTTTAAGGATATTC